AGCAGAATAAGTTGAATATGCATGATTTGCTGCGAGAAATGGCCAGAGTAATCGTTTCTGAAAAATCTCTTGGTCACCCTGGAAAATGGAGTAGGTTGTGGAACTGTAAAGAGGCCGCCAAAGTCTTGAGAAATAAATCTGTAAGTACATTCCCAATAAAATTTTGCATAATGCATCCTACTTGAAAACATATATGTAACCTACGTATGTCTATTATACACTAAACAACATTTATGTGTAAATATATTCGTCATAGGTGACTTTGCCTAATGAATAATAATACATGTAAATATATGCAAATAATCCGTTTCTTACACATGAATATAACCTTTTGTTAACAGGGAACTGAAGAAGTTGAAGGACTTGCTCTAAATTTCCCTTATCCTTGGCCTCGAAGCTCTCGCATGCCCAGTTTCAGTACCGAAGCATTTGCCAATATGAAGAAACTAAGATTCCTTCATCTCAAATACGTTCAACTCAATGGAGAATACAAACATCTTCCCAAAGAGTTAATATGGTTGTGTTGGGAAGGATGCCCTTTAAAGTCCATACCAGATGACTTTTTTGATCAACAAAGACTAGTTGTTTTAGATATGCAGTCTAGCAAACTGGTACAAGTTTGGGAGGGTTATAAGGTAAGATCGTTACACATGATGATGTTCTGTTTCTATTTGTTTTTGGAGTTCCTTCTGTTTTTTTATGACATCTTCCTTTTGGATATTAATTTCAATTTTCCTTTGGTTTTCTGTAACAGTTGCTAAAGAGGTTGAAAATCCTGAATCTCAGTCATTCCCTATCTCTAATTAAATCACCGGACTTTTCACAAGTCCCATATCTTGAAGAGTTGATACTGGAAAATTGTGGGAGTTTGTCCGAGATTCACCCCTCCATTGGTCAACTTAAAAGACTTTCTTTGGTGAACCTTAAAGAATGCGAAAAGCTTCGTTCTCTTCCAAGGGATTTCTATAAGTTGAAATATGTTAAGACTCTTCTTCTTAATGACTGTTTAGAATTCAGAGAAGTGCATGAGGATTTAGGGGAGATGATATCATTGAGAATACTTGAAGCAGAGCATACAGCCATAAGAGAAATACCATCTTCCACAGTTAGATTGAAGAATCTCACTCTTTTATCCCTAAATGGTGTGAAATTAGCTCATGATGCAATCCCTCATGATCTTGGGAGTTTAATTTCTTTACAAGTTTTGGATCTTCGAGGGAATGATTTTCATATCCTACCCAGCCTCAGTGGTCTTACAAAGCTTGAAACATTGAGGTTAAATGACTGCTTTAACCTTCATACAATCCCTGATTTACCAACAAATTTGAAATTTCTGTATGCCGCTAATTGCCCTGCATTGGAAACAGTGCCCAATTTTTCGGAAATGTCAAATATGAGAGAGTTGAAGGTAAATGATTCATCCAAACTCACTGAGGTTCCAGGCTTGGATAAGTCATTAAAGTTCATGACATTGATTGATATGAGTAACTGCACCAATCTCACACCTGATTTTGGGAGGAACATCCTACAGGTATCTCCCCCCCTCTCTCTCATTGTCTTCCTATCGTGCACATGCATACACGAATGCACATTTACATGTATATATATATAAGACACTTGCATTGTATATGTAGGGATGGACTTCGTGCGGATTTGGTGGCATTTTACTCTATGGGAATTTTATTCCTCATTGGTTTGATTTTGTTGGCAATGGCAATAAAGTCAGTTTTGATATTCCCCCGAATGATGGTCGTACTTTTGAAGGGCTGACTATGTGCTTCTTGCACAGATCTGCATTTGAAAGTAATTTTGAATTTGGCATTACTGTTATAAATAATACCAAGCGTACTAAGTTGCAGGCTTACTTTGGCAGCGGATATTGGGATAAGTCTTCAAACTCTAATCTTTTGCACGTACTTTGGCAAGGACAACTATCGAACGATAAGCTCAAATTGCAAAGTGGGGATAAAGTTGAAGTTATAGTACTTCGACTTTCAAGAAAATCTGATTATTATAGGTCACCAATGATAACAATGGTTAATCTAGTGTGGAACAAACCTATGAAGGAAAATACGCATGATTTGGATCAAGCTAGTTATGTTTTTTACCATCAGCCAGCTCGGTTCTATGAGGAGTCATCTGATAATTCTGAGCCATCTAATGATTATGATCTCAGTAATTCCATCGGTAGTACTAAAGCAGTGTATGCTCATGGTCCTCTCAGCCTTGCGCATTCACGTTTTTCCTCGTCTTCTAATACTTTTCCTGCAGGCCATCATATTCAGCCTCAAACTCGTCCTGAGAATTTCGATCTCAATAATTCCATCGGTAGTACTGTAGCAGTGTATGCTCATGGTCCTCTCAGCCTTGAGCATTCACATTTTTCCTCGTCTTCTAATACTTTTCCTGCAGGCCATCATATTCAGCCTCAAACTCGTCCTGAGAATCTCTCAGTACTCTACCCAATGGACGGAGATCCTTGTAAGTTCCTCTCTTTGGCTCTTGATTATTACTGTTCATGTTAAGATAAAAAATCTCCTCTGCAAGACTAAGAAATGATGGATTTCTCAATAGAAAATCTCTGAAATTTTCTCCACTTTCAAACCTTTTGCCATCATTTGCCATCAATGAGAACAATGGTTAATCTAGTGTGGAACAAACCTATAAAGGAAAATACGCATGATTTGGACCAAGCTAGTTATGTTTTTTACCAACATCCAGCTCGGTTCTATGCGGAGTCAGCTGATAATTATGAGCCATCTAATGATTATGATCTCGGTAATTAAATGGGTAGTACTATAGCAGTGCATGATCATGATCTTCTCAGCCTTGCGCATTCACGTTTTTCCTTGCCTCCTGGTATTTTTCTTGCAGGCCGTCATATTAAGCCTCAAACTCGTCCTGAGAATCTCCCAGTACTCTTCCAGCCACAGAGTCCGGCAGTCAGTGGCAGAGGAGATCAGATAGCCGACCCAATGGTCGAAGAACCTCTTACGAGCCTTTCTTTGTCTTTTGATCATTGGAAGCCACAGGGTCCGGCAGTCAGTGACAAAGGAGATCAGATAGCCAACCCAATGGACAAAGATCCTCTTACGAGCCTTTCTTTGTCTCTTGATCATTGGAAGTCACAGGGTCCGGCAGTAAGTGACAGAGGAGATCAGATATCTGGCCCAATGGGGGAAGATTTTGCGCGCCTTCCTTTGTCCCTTCATCATTGGAAGCCACAGGGTTCGGCAGTTAGTGACAGAGGAGATCAGATATCCAACCCAATGGACGAAGATCCTTTTTTTACCTATCTGTCTCTTGATCATTTATCATTTACTTGTTCAGGTAACATTCAACTAAACACCTCGGACTTTTGGCCTTTTCCATTTGGAGAGAGTGAGACCATGAGAGTTGAATAGATTGTAGGGCTGTTCATGTTAAGATAAAAAATCTCCTCCGCAAGACTAAGAAATGATGGATTTCTCAGTAGAAAATCTCCGAAATTTTCTCCACTTTCAAACATTTTGCCATCAATGAGAACAATGGTTAATCTAGAGTGTGAAACAAACTTATAAAGGAAAATACGCATGATTTGGACCAAGCTAGTTATGTTTTTGACCAACATCCAGCTCGGTTCTATTGGGAGTCAGCTGATAATTTTGAGCCATCTAATGATTTGATCTCAGTAATTACATGGGTAGTATCATAGCAGTGCATGATCATGATCCTCTCAGCCTTGCGCATTCACGTTTTTCCTTGCCTCCTGGTATTTTTCCTGCAGGCCATCATATTCAGCCTCAAACTCGTCCTGAGAATCTCCAAGTACTCTTCCAGCCACAGGGTCCGACAGTCGGTGACAGAGGAGATCAGATATCTGGCCCAATGGAGGTAGATCTTCTTGCACGCCTTTCTTTGACCCTTCATCATTGGAAGCCAAAGAGTCCGGCAATCAGTGACAGAGGAGATCAGATAGCCGACCCAATGGTCGAAGATCCTCTTACGAGCCTTTCTTTGTCTCTTGATCATTGGAAGCCACAGGGTCCGGCAGTTAGTGACAAAGGAGATCAGATAGCCGACCCAATGGACAAAGATCCTCTTACGAGCCTTTCTTTGTCTCTTGATCATTGGAAGTCACAGGGTCCGGCAGTAAGTGACAGAGGAGATCAGATATCCGGCCCAATGGAGGAATATATTTTTGCACGCCCCAGTGACAGAGGAGATCAGATATCCGACCCAATGGACGAAGATACTCTTACGTGCCTCTCGGTCTCCTGATCATTCATCATCTTCTTGTTCAGATAACATTCAACTAAACACCTCAGACTTTTGGCCTTTTCCATTTGGAGAGAGTGCCTATGAGAGCTGAATAGATTGTAGGGCTGTTCGTGTTATGATAAAAAATCTCCTCGGCAGGACTAAGAAATGATGGATTTCTCAATAGAAAATCTCCGAAATTTTCTCCGCTTTCAAACATTTTGCCATCATTTGCAATCCGACTCATGTGTCCTGAAGCTCAATTTGCAAGGCACAAAGTTGAAGTTGATCTAATTTTGGCGGGATCTTATATAATTATGTTTCATTGAAAATATTCAAGATTTGGACAAACCTATCAAGGAAAATGTTTGCCCTGCTTTCACCACATATTTCATTAATCTCGACTTGCCCTGAAATTGGAAAAGTCAATTTGAAGGAAATGTTGTGTTTTGTTGTACCGCTAATTAAACAAGGGACGGATTAATTAATGGAAAATGTTAGGCAGATAATCTTTTTAGATTACATTTTGAAATCAAATAATGTAATTGTTGATGGTTAGATTCCATTTTTAATGGTTTAAAAAAATAATTCAATCATCAACCTTAACATCATCATAATGTGATCTATAAATATAGTCCAAAAAGATGATATCTTTAGCATCAACCTTAAAAAATGTCGAATCTCTTTTTTGAACAAAAGATATTATCTACAAATTTGCATATCCAGATGGAAAAATGAACTCTTCGTTGGTTCATTAGATATATTATTAATAACTCCCTATTCGTTCCCTGGATCCCTTGATATTGATATATTACTCCACGTTTGCAAATGATTGATATATTACAACTTTGTTCGACCTCAGAGTCGCTAACTTGCTTGCATTATATGAATTCGGAGAACTTGTCTAATGGCCGATTTCATCAATCTTCCTCCAAGATTTCAGAGATCTGTCATCGTAGTTGATCCAATATTTCAAGCTAGTAATGCCCTCATCCAGAGCATTAACCATTTCTCGAGCTTTTTTCCTCTTCTTCTTCTTCCGTCGGCTTCCCGTAGAGGAGGCTCAAATATGGCATAGAACCTGCATCCATCAAATATTGCAGACAGACAGATTACATATGAACATTCCCGTAAACAACAAGAAGAAATTAAGAAGCAAGCTTTCGTGAAAACAAAAGAACACCAGCTCAAAAGTTAATGTAAACAGCAACTTACTGTTTACAGGGAAACGCACCGAACTCTGCCCGGAGGCCCTCCTTCACCTTCTTGATTCTATGGGAAACATCAGGCGGTGGAACGGCCCAAACGGAATATGAGTACCGCCTCCTGCAGCTTTCCCTCTTCCCGTCTACCGCCACCATCGCATCTCCATCTTTGTCTGAGCAATTATTCTCTATGCTCTCAGGCTTGTGGTTGCGTCCCCTGACCGAAACTATGGTATTCACATAACCAACAAACTCACCTCGTGTTTCAATGGGAACATACATAAGCTTTTTAGTACAAAGAAGCAAACTACGCGTCCATCATTGTGAACCATAAGAAACTGATTCATTCCACACAATAAGCTTCAAATCAAGGTCACGCCCCAGGGGTAATCGTTGGAGCTCAGATGGTTCGGGTATACCATGAAATACCTCGCGACTCAAAGAAATGATCACTCTCCTGCCTTCTGGGTCATCAAAAGTGTCATAAACAGATATTTCCTTATCTTGCTCAATTCCCAGCCAAAAACACATTCCCTTGAAGCACATCTGGAACCTGTCAGGCCAAACCAAAGTAGTTTCCAAGAATCACAACTGATGGTGTTTACTACCGCTTAGGGTGGAGTAATAAGTCTCACAATGTCATCCGACTCTTGAGTATAAGTAGTGAAGGCCACAAATTTGTACTCGTTAGATTTTGCTATGATATGCCATAACAAGCCAATCGCATGCCAAGCTCTCGCTTTATGCCAACAAGCAACGAGGTTACGACTATCTATGCACATTGTCGTGATATGCCATTGACATGTCGTATCAGCCCTCAGACATATCAAATGCGCAGAACGAGCACGTCAAACATATCTAGTGCCATTTCAATTGAAGGGCCATGATAAGCCAAGTTAGTGACAAACACTCGACCCAAGGGCACCCTGGAAATAATAACGAGTAGACTGAGCTAGGTGATGACGCCTTTCGGGGACAGTTTTCAAACAAGGAAAAACACGATCTCAGAATATATCTTATCTCACATACTCCAAATTTAGACGAGTTACAAAATTTAAGATTTGCATCATAAATCCAAGCACAAAGGCGATGTTTGAGATCCCAATTCGAACATCATGAAATAAATTTCAAAACAGGCATTGAAATCGAAACTGAAATTTCATAGAATTGAGAGTTGATTCATACAGAAAGAACAAGTCCTTGCTAAAGGTCAAAATCCTCGAGCTTTCGAACCCTGTCACCAGCAACCAAACCCTGAAACCCTAGAACACAAAAACAAAGTCAAACAACAAAAAGCACTAAAATTTAGCATAATTTTCGCGTTCGTTATCTTCTTCGTGAAATGTCAGCGAGAGGAGTGGTATGGCGGCCACTTCAGAGCTCTGCCCCCGGTGAGTTTTCCAGCGCCGGGTCGATTTTCCGATGAGTTTGCCAACATCATCAATTAAATATTACCGTCATCCCATTGGTAACCACCCTGTCCATATGCAGGCCCTGAATCCAGAAGTTCCCTGAATTCAGAAGGCCATATGGGTGGGGCAGGGCGATCACCAAGAGGATGAGGGTAATAGTAGTATTCTGCAACAGCGACTCCGGCCCCCAGACTCAGGTGTGCGAAATTGAAGGTTAACGAATTATAGGCAGCCATCGTGCTCATTTCATAGGGTCTGTAATAACTAAAACCCTAGACGACGCCGACAGAAGAAAGGCCTTCTATTTACTTTCACCCGAAAGCCCAATGGACAACTTATCCCAGCCCACATTAATTCGGCCCTTAAATGCAAGTATTTGGGTCTCCCGTTGTTGTTGCTTGTACATCATCATTCTTTCTTTCTAGCACATCATTTTTTTTTAAGGAATTTTAACAAAACATTCCCGGTATTGTTTACTTTTAATGAAAAATCACATTTTTACCTTTCTCTTGTACTATTCACTACACATGTATTTATCATTTTTCATTAAAACTAATATTTTTTTTTATTTTCAAAAATACGAAAAATGATCCTTAATTTCCTTCACAATCTAAATTCAAAAAATCCTTCACAATCTAAATTCAAAAAAATCATATTCATCTGAAGAAAAAAAACCGGGTTGGGGGTTGGGGGGGGGGGGGGAGCGCTTTCGAATCATACGTGTGAAATTATACTAAAACATAAACGTCTCGTAGCAACTCCTCATTTTTCAATCTCATTTCATTAATTTTGTATCAAATGCAAGAAAAATTCAATCACTGACCAAAAAAAAAAAATTAAAGTTTACAATCCACACAGAAATCCCAAATTGCAAAACAGTAAAATTCAACAGACACCACCATTCATTTCATCATTCCAAAATAATTTGAGATTGGATACATACATGTCATTAAATCTGTCCGTCCTCTTAATACCAAAACACCACCAATCAAATAGTCAATTTTGTGACAAAAAGTTTGGAGCCATAAACTGAAAGTCGTGACCTAAAACTTCCAAATTCATTGTATTTGTAGTGGCCGAGCTTAATCTATACCAGAGAATACTTTAGTTCCAGGAACAACGTCGTCAGGGATTGCCGGGATATAAGAGTACTACACAGTTGCTACCTCACTGTGACCGTATGTGAGCCAAAGTTTCCAAAGCCGCCGACTACTCAAATTCCTCGTAAAATCCTCCCCACGGAAATTCTTATATTGAAATTGCATTCTTCTCAAAAAATATATCCCGAAGACGAATTTCATTGAGAGGCAATCATCGCTAGTTTCTCCCAAGGGCACGATCCCTCAAGAAAGAATGTATTTCAGTCAATTTAATGATGGTCGTGGCGGGGTCAATGAAGAAAGCTCCCTTCAACTTAGCGTTCTTATTTTTTTACCACATTAATGTACTATTTGACATGACAAGTGATACATATAAATGACATCCGATTAAATAGAAGATTTAAATTATGACATTGCAGAATAAAAAAAAAACAAAAAAAAAGGAGCTAAAAGTTAAATATTGTCAACTTTTCCTAGTTTGGCTAATTCATTGAAGTTTTTAGAGTTATTAAAAATGCTTTCAAACAATATTCTCAAAGCATTATGATGATGTTGGTAGAAAAAAATGTAAGTGCTTTTAAAGGATAGAATTTTACTAAAATTTTTGACGTTGCTTCTAGTATCGTGCTTATATACAAAAATGGCTTTTAGAAAAGAAAAGTGACAAACAGAAGTGGTTTGTAAAGTGCTTATCCGTTTTACAAAGTGTTTTTCATAGAGACCGGTTTTATTTATAATACAGCACATAGATTTTGGGGGTTTGTTGGTATGGTAATGTTTACTAGCTAATGGTGGCTAACATATAAGTTAAGGGCTCATCTATTAGCGTTTTACAAACAGCTTTGAAACATGAAAATTTTATCACATGCTTTACAAGGACCCATCATTAACAACATCAATACTTTCTATCGACTTGAATTTTCCTACATGCACAACACTTCATATGTGAATATCTTATCACAAAAAACTTTGATATAATTAGGAGTGAAAATTGCACAATATAAGTCATCTTTAATTTTGACAAATTTGATGTGAGATCCTTGTACTCTTCAACATGTATAGGGATGGATTTCTTGTGGATACGGTGACATTTATCTCAATTGGATTTATGGTATTTTTGAGTTGTTTGAGTTTGCTTATGAGGAGAATGTAGCCGACTTTGTTATGCTTAAAAGTGATGATTGTCATTTTAAAGAGTTGATTGTTTGATGTATTTACTCGTTAAGTGAACAATATAAATGTCATCTTGAAAATATTGTTATTAATTATACCAGGCGTACTGCTTTGCATGCCTTGATAACATTTACCTAAGTAGTACCAAAATCTTGTAGATGCGAAAGGGATTATCTTTAGCAGGGAGAGATATTGAACGATTAGCTGATCAATTTAGCCGGTTGACATTGCAGATGAAGAAGGGGATTATGTTCGAATCCCTGCTTCTTAATTCACTAAATTAGGAGATTCGTGTCATTGAAATTTGGTTAAACGATTGAAATTATTATAACTTTTAAATTAGACCCCTGTTTGTAGCCGTTGGATCAAATTTCAATGACACGGATCTTCTGATTTGATGAATTAGGAAGAAATAATCCAGAGAGAATCACTTTCCTGCAGATGAAATAGGAGGAGGTAGATCTTAATTGTTTCTACCCTCGTATTCTTGAAATGAAATGTTAGGAGGACTCGTTTCTGCCAAACTAAAGATTTTTCAATGTGATCGTCACATGAGACAGTATACTATGTGTTCCTATATAAATGGTGGGATATGTGTGTTAAAAAGTTAATAACTTAAAAATTAAAATTTTTCAGTACTCATGTAAAAACATGTGATATACCATACGGGTTTCTATTACAACTAAAAATTTCTCCCGCCAAACTCCCTCATTCAACTCCACGTGTAACTGAGCCTCCATAATTGATGGTGAGTCTGGACCTCATTGTTAATTTACCTCATTGTTAATTTAATAAAAAATACCATTAAAAATAATTATTCTCTCTCTCTCACCCTTCCCCTTCCTCTTCCTCCATCTCGATAAATCCAAGAAAACCAAAGTACATTTCCCTCCGACGAGTTTGCCAACATCATGAATTAAATATTACCGTCATCCCTTTGGTAATCACCCTGTGCAGGCCCTGAATCCAGAAGGCCATATGGGACAGGGTGATCACCAAGAGGAGGATGGTAATAGTAATATTTCTACGGCGGCTCCGGCCTCCAGACTCCGGTCAGGTCTGGGAATTGAAGGTTGATGAATTACTGGGGCTATCGTGCTCCTTATAGGCTCTGTTACAACTAAAACCCTAGACGACGCCGACGGAAGAAAGGCAACATTAATTCGGTCTCCCGATGCTGTTGCTTGTACAGCATGATTCGTTCTTTCCAGCACATCATTTTTTTATGTTGAGTGGTTGAAGCATTCGAAAATACCAAAAATGATCCTTAATTTCCTTCACAATCTAAATTAAAAAAAAATTAAAAAATTGGACAAATTGGTAAAAAAAACATAACTAAACATAAAACTGTATTTAAAAAAAATAAAAAAAAACAAAATATGTAAATAAAACCCTAGACGACGCCGACGGAAGAAAGGCGTAAGACGACGCCATCGGTACTCCTCTCTATATTCTTTCCGACTTCTATTTACTTTCACCCGAAAGCCCAATGGACCACTTATCCCAGCCAGCATTAATTCGGCCCTTAAATGCAAGTATTTGGTCTCCCCATGCTGTTGCTTCTACAGCATGATTAGTTCTTTCTAGCACTTCATTTTTTTATGTTGAGTGGTTGATGAAGCATTCGAAAATACCAGAAATGATCCTTAATTTCCTTCACAATCTAAATTTAAAAAAATAAAAAAATTGGACAAATTGGTAAAAAAAAAACATAACTAAACATAAAACTGTATTTAAAAAAAATAAAAAAATAAAAAAACAAAAATATGTAAATAAGAACTAGAAACGTTCTGGTTCTGTAGTGAAAAATCAATAATAAATAAATAAATAATAAAAGTAGAAAAGAAAATGAAAAAGTGAAAAAGTGAAAAAGAAAAAAAAAAGAAAAAGTTTACGTGTTCAACCTCAAAGACGACGGAGAAAAAACACAAACGAGTTAACAGTTTTCTCCCAAGGATTCCCACAATCTAATCTTAGTTTAATGTGAGATCCAACAGTAACTACCCACTTACCATCAATGTTTAGAGATGAATAATCGGAAGGCAACCAATTTTCGTTTTCAACAGTCCTCTTATTAAGCTTTTCTCATTTTTAGTTCATGTGGATATTACTTGGCATGCATGCACACTTTATATTTCTCACATTTTTTTTTCCAATTTCCTAATGGAGTGGTGTGCTGTGTGCCTTCTTAGTTCGACAATTAGGATTTCATGCTATTATTTTTTTTATATCATTTGAATTCGAACTAATTAATTGATAGAAAGAAAACAATTAATGCAACACATCTTAGATATGTTAATATGGTGAAGCTTCGAATATAAAGTTGAATTTGTATAAAGTAATGAATTTATATTATTATTTTTATATCATTTGAATTCGAACCAATATAACTACCCACGTACCATCAATATTTAGAGATGAATAATCAAAATACAACCAATTTTCGTTTTCAGCAGTCCTCTTATTAAGAGTTTCTCATATTTTAGTTCATGTGGATATTACTTGGCATGCATGCACACTCTATATTTCTCACATTTATTTTTCCATTTTCGTAATGGAGTGGTGTGCTATGTGCCTTCTTAGTTCGATAATTAGGATTTCATGCTATTATTATTTTTATATACGATTAGCTAATCAATTTAGCCGGTTGACATTATAGATGAAATAGGGGGAGGTAGATCTTAATTGTTTCTACCCTCGTATTCTTGAAAAAAAAGAACACGGATGCCCTTTGGATCCATTATGTGGGGGTCATAAGAAATCTCATATCTCAGCCGTTTATTGTATATCGTCCGGTTAATTTTTATCAGATACTATTTGTGTCTAATTTAAAATAATATAAGTAAAATGATTTCTGACCACATGATTTCCGATGTACGGCTGAGAATGGATCCGAATGGAATCCATGTTAGAAAAAGAAATGCTAGCAGGACTCAGTTCCGCTAAACTCCCCCATTCAACTCCACGTGTAACTGAGCCTCCATAATTAATGGTGAGTCTGGAGTCTGAACCTCATTGTTAATTTAATAAAAAAATACCATTGAAAGTAATTTTATTCTCTCTCTCTCTCTCTCTCACCCTTCGCCTTCATCTCGACAAATCCAAGAACACCAAAATACCATTAAAGTGATTTTTTTGTTTGTTTGTTGCAAGTTGAAGAAGGATATATTATTTTTTTTCAATTGCTGAGTTTTGTTTCTTCCTCATAAATTTGCTAGCTCTTTCTCTCTCATAATATTGTTTGTTTTCCAACATCCTGTGACGTGTCGGACGGCTTTTCACCGTTCTATTGCGTGTCGGACGGCATCATTTTAATATTCTTCTGGGTCGTGGCATCATTTTAATAGTCTGTCGCTTTTCAGGCCAACACGCCAACACAAACACAACTATTGCTATTTTTTTCAGTCTGTGATCTGATTCTGAACCATTGCTAAAGCCAAACGGTGGATACCGCCATGACAGCCCACGAAGCCTCCTCTTCGTCCTCCTCCAAGTCCAAACTCTGGAACTACGACGTATTCTTGAGCTTCAGGGTGAAGACACGCGCTATGGCTTCACGGGCCACCTCCATGCGGCATTAAAAGACAGAGGGTACCAGGTCTTTATTGATGAGGACGATCTACCAGGAGGGGAAGTAATAAAAGATAAACTGTTTCGTGCAATCGAAGAGTCGAGGATCTCTGCCATTATCTTCTCAAGGAGATATGCGGATTCGAGTTGGTATCTTGACGAGCTGGTGAAGATCATGGAGTGCAGAGTCGAACTGGGGCGACATGTTTTACCAATATTCTATCACGTTGATCCTTCGCATGTCAGGAAGCAGGACGGAGATTTAGCCGAAGCATTTCAGAAGCACGAAAATGACATCCGTGAAGAAAAAGATGACAATAAACGTGAAGCTAAACAAGAAAGGCTAAAGCTGTGGAGAGAGGCTCTCACAAAAGCTGCAAATTTGTCTGGCCACCATCTTCAAATCGCTAACAATGGGTAATCATTCAGCTGCCTTTCAAGATTTAAGTTGTATTACTCTAATTAACATGCTTAATTAATACACCTTAATCTCTCACGTTGATCCGTCACAGAAGCTACAAATTTTAGTGAATGACTTAATCTCTCAATTAATTGACATGCTTAATTAACATTTTACATAATCTAAACATTCATTCACATGCTTAAGGAATACACCTTAATCTCTCATAAGTAACCTAAACCGTAATTGGAGTTTAATTCATACGCCTGACTTTTATTTATCAATTAATCCTTTTATTCAAGTTCGTCATAAAATCACATACTAGCTAGTAGGTAGTTAATATATACAAATTAACTGAAGGGAAGAAGGAAAGAAAATTGTTTATGCACTGATATCTCCTACCGAGCTTTCATTGAGTCCCACTAATGCCTACGAATTCAATTTTCAGGGGCGAAGCAGAGTTCATTAAAAAAATTATTGACGAGAAAATTTGGGAATGGCTCACCAGCACTTACGAATTACATGTGACCAAGCACATAGTTGGAATCAATTCACGTGTTCAAGATATTATCAGTTATCTTTCAAGTGGTGGATCAAATGAAGTTCTCATGGTTGGAATTTGGGGGATGGGTGGATTGGGTAAAACAACAGCTGCCAAAGCCATTTATAACCAAATTCATCATAAGTTTGAATTCAAAAGTTTCCTTGCCGACGTTCGCGATGCTACAAGTATACATGATCTGGTTGATTTGCAAAAAAAACTTATTTCTGACATCTTGAAACAGACTCAAGAAATAAGTTGTGTTGACCATGGTATCGGTCTGATAAAACAACAATTTGGACATAGAAAGATACTTGTCATCGTGGACAACATAGATAAAGAGGAACAACTGGAGGATGCAATAGTTGGAGGTTATGATTGGTTTGGTCCTGGAAGTAGAATTGTTATAACGACACGAGATGAACATCTACTACAAAATGTGAACAAAAAATTTCAGGCCAAGGAAATGAATGAAGAAGAAGCTCTTGAGCTATTTAGTTGGCATGCCTTTAAAAATAGTTGTCCTGATCAAACATATCTTGAAGTTTCAATAAAGGTTGTTTCTTACTGTGGAGGTTTACCACTAGTGCTTAAAGTTTTAGGATCTTTTTTTACTAAAAGATCGTTGGCAGAGTGGAAAAATCAATTGGAGAAATTAGGAACACATCTAGATGGAAAACATTGGAAATCAACTCAGAACAAGTTATGAAGGGCTAGATTATTACCAGAAGGCTATATTTCTTTACATATTTTGTTTCTTTATTGGAGAGGACAAGGACTATGTTGCAAAAATGTTAGATCGATGCGGATTTTTTGGAATAGTAGGAATCAATGTCCTTCATGAACGATGCCTTGTAACTATTGAGGAGAATAAGTGGAATACGGGGACTATGCAGAATGAGTTGAATGTGCATGATTTGCTTCGAGAAATGGCCAAAGTAATCATTTCTGAAAAATCTCTTGGTCACCCTGGAAAATGGAGTAGGTTGTGGAACAGTCAAGAGGCCGCCGAAGTCTTGAGAAATAAATCTGTAAGTACATTCCCAATAAAATTTTGCATAATGCATCCTGCTCGAAAACATATATAACCCACGTATGTCTATTGTACACTAAACAACATTTATGTGTAAAATATAATTCACCGTAGGTGATTTTGCCTAATGAATAATAATACATGTAAATATATACAAATAATCCGTTTCTTACACATGAATATAACCTTTTGTTAACAGGGAACTGAAGAAGTTGAAGGACTTGCTCTATATTTGCCTTATGTTTGGAACCTGCCTAGTTTCAATACAGAAGCATTTGCCAATATGAAGAAACTGATTCCTTCATCTCAAAGATGTTCAGCTCAATGGAGAATACAAACATCTTCCCAAAGAGTTAATATGGTTGTGTTGGGTAGGATGCCCTTTAAAGTCCATACCAGATGACTTTTTTGATCAACCAAGACTAGTTGTTTTTAGATATGCAATTTAGCGAACTGGTACAAGTTTGGGAGGGTTATAAGGTACGATCAATTACACATGATGATGTTCTATTTCTGTTTGCTTTTGGATTTCCTTGTTTTTTTTATGACATCTTCCTTTTGGATATTAATTTCAATTTTCCTTTGGTTTTCTGTAACAGTTGCTAAAGAGGTTGAAAATCCTGAATCTCAATCATTCCGTATCTCTAATTAAATCACCGGACTTTTCACAAGTCCCAGATCTTGAAGAGTTGATACTGGAAGGTTGTTGGAGTTTGTCCGAGATTCACCTCTCCATTGGTCAACTTCAAAAACTTTCTTTGGTGAACCTTATAAATTGCAGAATGCTTAGATCTCTTCCAAGGGATTTCTATAAGTTGAAATCTGTTGAGACTCTTCTTCTTTCTGGATGTTATAAATTAAGAGAAGTGCATGAGGATTTAGGGGAGATGATATCATTAAGAATACTTGAAGCAGACTATATACAGCCATACCATCTTCCACAGGTAGATTGAAGAATCTCTCTCTTTTATCCCTAATATGTGTGAAATTAGCACATGATGCAATCCCTCAGGATCTCTCTCACTCTTTCCTGAATTCAAAACCCTAGAGGCTCCAAGTCTAGAACAAAGCCGCAAACGCCAACTCCTTCCACCTGACGAAGACCTCCCAATAACTCAAGGTAAAAAGTAAAAACTTGTTTCTCCACTGTCGTAAAAAAAGAAATTGTTATTAGCATTCTAAAAATCTCATTCAACACTCTAAAATTTTTTATATAAAGGAAAGAAAAATACACGAAGTGTAGAATGAAATTTTTGGAATGTTTCCCATAAAAAAAATTTCACCTTTTTCATTTTTTTTTTTGAATTGTTTGTTTCCCAGATACATTGTATGACTTGTTCTAAATTACCCTGCAACACTCTTTGGGATTGTTTTTTTTTTTTAATGAATAATTTTGGGAGATTGATGAAATCAAACGCATAAGACTTGTTCTAATTTTACTTTTGATGATTTGTAAATTTGGTGACCATATAATGGAGAGCTGCTCTCTTAAACTCAACTTGATTTTCTTTTTAATTTGCACAGAAAGAATAATTTCTTGTCTGCAGCTAGTTATAATTTAAATTCGACTTCATTAGGCACGAACACAAAGCTTAATTACCACAAGAAGTTAAACAAATGAGCAGATTTTGGAGAAAGAAAGTAAAACTAACTCCAAGATGTAAGGCAGCTCAAACCAGTTTGTAGTACCTATACAAGTAGAAAGATTGTTATATTCTAGTAAAAACTCAAAGGGTTGAACAAAGATTAATTTGCATCTGTTTTGATCCCAATTAGTTTTGGATCTGATGTTGAATAGCATTTGCAATAATTATTCCCATATGAATTAATGTCGAGAGAAATTGGTGACGTTGTCCAGCAATTCCAGTTTCGGGACCTCCACACCCACCATACCCTGGTCTAGGAAACTTTTATCTTCATTCAATACTGTCATACGGTAGGAAAAGAGATAACGCTCCGGTAACTTGGCCTTCTTGTTCACTAGAAGTGTCCTTAGGCCAGACACCTTATCAGTTGGGTTGACGTGTGATGTGTACCGACTCTTTCTAGCTGCCATTCTTTCCCACAATCCTACTTTGATTTCAATCTTTTTTGGTGCTGATGTGGAACCACCCACTGGTTCACTGAAAAAATAAGGAGTTTAGAGAGACAGAGAGAAAGACAATTAAAAGCATCTGACATAAAATAAATAAGGAAATTTAAATGACACTTAAAAGAGAGAAAAAACAAAAAAAAATAAGGGTGCTTTAGGTTTTGGCCCTTACAACTCATTATTTCTAAGTAAAAATCCATCTATCTTTAAAGATCCAGTTTAAGCCCAAATTTAAAATTTGCAAATATATGAGAACACTATTGACCTATTAATACAATTTATTTACACTCATGCCACTCATACTTTATGGTCCATTTTCCAAATTCCTAAATTTATGCAAAATTAAAAGTAGTAGAAAAAGTGAAATAAAATGTAAAAAGTGTTTGCATTAACCGTATCCATGTCAAACTAGAAAAGTAGTTTTTTTTTCGTGATATATTTTGTAGCAATTTTACCCATATTAATTGGTAGGTAAATTAGTATGTTCCAATTATTTAAAAAAAAATAGGGTTCTTTAGATATAAGCCCATGCAATACTTATTTCCTTAACAAAAACTCATCTCGTTTTAAACATCCAAATAAAACCCAAATTTGAAATAAATTGCCATGTAAACAAATAAATACCTATTATTTTCAAAATATTTACAATTGTGCCACAACACCCTAATTATGTTGATGAATTTAATTACCACCATAATTATAGCAAATAAGTGCTTTATTATTACAAAAGTATCTACTTTATACTTGTCTTACCATCATCTGTTACATTTCTTTTATTTGTTTGACAATCATTGTACTTAAATTATTTTGCATATATACGTTAGACACATTTTGTTGTTATTATATATGTGTGAAATAAATTACCTATATTTTTAAGTAGAATAAAGGTAATTAATTAACTTTGAATCAATTGGCTAAAAACATCCTTTGATTTTGTAGGTAAATAAATTTTGCATGTATTATTACATATAGGCACATTTGTTATTATTATGTGTTGTTTGCAATCAATCAACATTCATTTATTCAGTAGGTAAATTACAAAAGTATCCACTTTATACTTGTCTCACCATCATCTGTTCCATTTCTTATATTTGTTTGACAATCATTGTAGGTAAATTATTTTGCATGTATACATTAGGCACATTTTGTTATTATTATATATGTGTTACCTATATTTTAAAGTAGAATATAGCTAATTAATTAACTTTGAATCAATTGGCTAAAAACATCCTTTTATTTTGTAGGTAAATTATTTTGCATGTATTATTACATATACTAGGCACATTTGTTATTATTATGTGTTGTTTGCAATCAATCAACATTCATTTATTTTTTAGGTAAATTATTTTGCATGTATTATTACATATGTTAGGCACGTTTTGATATTATTATATATATGTGTATGCAAATAGCTTAGATAACTTTTGAATCAAACAATATTTATTTATTTATTATGTAGGTAAATTATTTTGCATGTATTATTTTACCTGGAACTTATATTGTAATTTTATATATGTAAGATATTGGTAATTTTGAATAAAATAACATTTGTATATTTGTGAAAAAATGCTAATTTACTTGTTAGAATTATTTGAAAAGGAAAAAAATGCTCATTTTTACATAAATGTGAAAACAATTATATAAGGAAACAAAACTCTAATGTCATGTAATTTTTGTTATTAATATGCATTGAAATCATGACACTCAAAATTTTCTTTTCCAAATCTGCATAAACATTTCAAAACGTTTAATTGAATGAAATAATATAACATAAATGTAGATAACAAGTAATAAACCCAAAGTCAATAATATTAGGGGTAATTCAGACATCCAAAAATACCAATTTTGCCAAGTCATACTTAATTATGGATATTGCTTAGTTGGAGCCTAGTCATTGGGTTTTTATTAGAAAATTTTACAATTGGGGGTTTTAGTTAATGAAAATTGAATTCCAAGGGGTATACTCATATTACCAAATTGCGTACCCTGCAGAATTATTACAAAGGAAATCTTGAAGCCATTGCGCATGCTCCTCCTGCCACAAAGACCCCTGAAAATACAGCTCCACTAACTCATCTCCCAAGCTCCTGCAACACAAAAACAGCAATAACCAAAAAGAAATTAAACCAATCAAACTTCCCTGTGTGGTACCAAACAAATGAAAATCAAAATTCTCCAAACAA